TTCCCATATGGTAGAAAGATATATTTGAAATGCTAACATTTTGGCCATATTCCATATATTTAAAATAAATAAATAAATGTGTGTATATATATATATATATATATATATATATATATATTTATTTATGTATATATATATTTATTTATATATATATATATATATATATTTACATATATATATATATATATTTTTTTATATATATATATATATATATATATATATATATATATATATATATACACATACACACACTGCATGTTGAAATTCGTTTTTATTACAAAATAAATGAAAAATATTTTTAAAAATATGTTTCAAATATACTGTATGTCTTTAAAAATACAAATCTACATTTTTGTAATGTACAAATATATGTAAAAATATATAATATATAATTACTTACAATTTTGGCTATATTCAATATATATATATACACACTGTATGTTGAAATGCGTTTTTATCACACAATATATAAAAAATATTTTTAACAATACATTTCAACTATACTGTATGTCTTTAAAAATTCAAATCTACATTTTTCGGAACGCATTTACAAATATATGTAAAAATATATGTAAAATGACTTTTTATATGTTAAAAAAAAAATCTGGAGAATATATTTTAAAAATATATATTTTTTAAAATATTTTTTTTTTAAAATATAAATCTTCACATTTTTTTTTCCACATATAAAAACTTAATTTTAACATATATTTGTAAATGCGTTCCGAAAAATGTAGATTTGAATTTTTAAAGACATACAGTATAGTTGAAATGTATTTTTAAATTTTTTTTTTATATATTGTGTAATAAAAAATGCATTTCAACAACATATATTGTGTGTATATATTCCTGAGTGTAGCTCGGGGTAAAGTTTCAGCACCACAAGCGGTAACCCCCCCCGAGCTACACTCAGGAATACACTGCAGCGTTGCTCCGGGATCTCTTCTGCACTTACCTTGTCCTGCGCTCCTGCGATGTCCCTCCTGCAGTGTCCCCTGTAATGTCCTCCGGCCGATGCCGGCATCTGTCTTCCGTGTTCCGTCCCCTGCTACGTCATGATGTACGGGGGGACGGAACTGGCGGGAAATATGAGAATGTCAAAAAGTGACATTCACTAAATCCACTAAAATCACATAGTATAACATTCCTGTATCAAACCATTTCACATACATTTTGTCCCGAGTGCTTTGTCCGACGCCCTGCCTGCATTTTTACGGTTCTTTCTGCCTGGAAACTGAGAAACGTCCATGGCGTCCAAAAAGCGCCCCTTTACGTCAGACGCGGTTTTAGACCGGCTAGAGAACAGCGATAGTAAATCAGAACCACTTGCAGAATTGAGTGATAATGATTGGTGGGGGAAATTCCTCATCAGACACTGAAAACGATTCTGCGACTTTGCTCAGCGATGTGCGAACTTGGAGCTATATTTCACATTTCAGTGTTTTTGGTTTGATTATATTATTGAATTAAATTTATTATATTATTATTTTTTACGATTTATTAAATTATAATTTATGATTTCATGTTTCAAATTTTATCATCCCCGGGATGTTTACTAGACTCTTGTTCGGACAGATTTCAGTGAGTTATTCCTAAAAATTACAGGCCTACAATAAAAAAAAAAATATATATTTCCATGCAAAATAATGTACCGCTTTGAGCACAGAAATATAGACATAATCAGACCGCTAGGGAGGTTAATATCCATGTTTTGTAGCTGGATGTGCAACAAGCTCATATGGGTTACTTTCTGTTCCAGCACTGTAAGTCTGTATACAAAGTCAGTTCCATAAGGACACAGTTTAATCAGTTTGGTGTGGAAGAACCTGAGTGACCTTCACGAAGCCGTGACCTTGACCCTACTGATCACCTTTAGGATGAATTGGAATGTCAATTGTGAACCAGGTCCATCGTCAGTACCTGACCTCACAAATGGACACATATACCCTAAGACACCCTCCAAAATCTTGTGGAAAGTCTTCCAGAAGAGTAAAAGTTGTTATATTTGAAAAGGGAGGCCAACTGCATATTAATGGCCATGGTTTTGGAAGAGGATGTCCAACAAGATCCTATACTGTAGGTGTATATACTGGAGCTTGCATGGGTCTCTGCATGGAAGTACAGCTATGTGGATCAGAGGAACCTTGAGGTAGGCCCGTAGCAAAAAAATAAATAAATTAAGTGCAGGGACGACATGACTAGGGGGAATAGAGGAACAACATAGGGTTAAAAGATGGGTAGGGAGTTTTGGGATTATGGCTTACCTTATTGGATGGGAATGTTGGGGAAGGTTCACAGGGAGGAAAAGGAGGGTCTGACCTCAGGAAGTCCAGTGGGGAAGTTGGAAGAAGAAGAAACTTCCCACCCTCCCTCCCCTTCGTGCTTTGGTTTGGATTGTCACGGCGGCCTTGGCGGTGGTTGGTCTATGGAGGAGGAAAAAATTCTCTATGGAGACAGATTCGGGGCCCATCAGTGGTATGGGGACCTCGGTACATTCCAGTTAACAAGGGTTTAACTCAGAGTAGGTAAAACGGTGGTCACTGTGGGTAAGTAGGGTTATCCCCAAACTGGTGTGTTGCGGCTGGAGATAAGTAGGATTGTCCCTGAGCCGGTGGGTTGCGGCTGGAAGCCTAAGTTGAAGGAATGTTTTCCACAAAAATGCAGTTGGGTTTATGGCCCTCAAATGACCACCACGTTTTTCCTCTGTTTATAATTTGGAATGTTATGTTATCTATGTTGAAATAATTTATTGGTTAATAAAAGGCTGCTATGGCCATTTTGACTCCAAAACCTTGGTTTGTGTATTTTGTATAGCTGGAACGGTGGAGGGTATGGCCTAGCAGGCTTGGTTTCTACCCTTGTCATAGCACTGAGAGATATGTCATCTACTAATGTTGGCATGGGTTTTAGTGGGAAGGTGTATGTGATGATGAATTTCTTTTAGGTTTTGGTTAAGTAGGAAGGGGCTGTTCTCTTTGACAAGTCTTCATTGCTGTCTATGTCTCCACTGGGTAGATTCAGCTCTATATATGTCCTGGTGGCCACGGCCACCGAGACAGATAGCGAGCAGAAAAAATAAAATTTCTGAGTTGCCACCAGAGCAAAAGGTGAGGGTAAATCACCCCAAGAATTCTTTATGGAAACAGATTCGGGACCCCTCAGTGGTATGGGGACCTCGGTACATCGCAGTTAACAAGGGGATAACTCGGAATAGGTAAAATGGTGGTCACTGCTGATAAGTAGGATTGTCCCCGAGCTGGTGGGTTGCGGTTGGGGATAAGTAGGATTGTCCCCGAGCTGGTGGGTTGCGGTTGGGGATAAGTAGGATTGCCCCCGAGCTGGTGGGTTGCAGCTGAGTTGTTCTCTTTGACAAGGTTGTTCTCTATGACAAGTCTTCATTGCTGTCTATGTCTCCACTGGGAAGATTCACCCCTACATTTGCCCTGGTGGCCACGGCCACCGAAACAGATAGCGAGCGGAAAAAAATTAATTTCTGAGTTGTCACCAGAGCAAAAGGTGAGGGAAAATCCACCCAAGAATTCTGTTTGGAGACAGATTCGGGACCCATCAGTGGTATGGGGACCTCGGTACATTCCAGTTAACAAGGGGTTAACTCGGAATAGGTAAAATGGTGGTCACTGCAGATAAGTAGGGTTATTCCCGAGCCGGTTTGTTGTGGTTGGGGATAAGTAGGATTGCCCCCGATCCAGTGGGTTGCGGTTGGTGATAAGTAGTATTGTCCCCAAGCTGGTGGGTTGCGGTTGGGGATAAGTAGGATTGTCTCCGAGCTGGTGGGTTGCGGTTGGGGATAAGTAGGATTGTCCCCGAGCCGGTGGGTTGCGGTTGGGGATAAGTAGAATTGTCCCCGAGCCGGTGGGTTGCAGTTGGGGATAAGTAGGATTGTCCCCGAGCCGGTGGGTTGCAGTTGGGGATAAGTAGTATTGTCCCCAAGTTGGTGGGTTGCGGTTGGGGATAAGTAGGATTGTACCCGAGCTGGTGGGTTGCGGTTGGGGATAAGTAGGATTGTCCCTGAGCTGGTGGGTTGTGGCTGGGTTGTTCTCTCTTTGACAAGGTTGTTCTCTGTAACAAGTCTTCATTGCTGTCTATGTCTCCACTGGGAAGATTCATCTCTACATTTGCATTGGTGGCCACAGCCACCGAGACAGCGAGCGGAAAAAAATAAATTTCTGAGCTGTCACCAGAGCAAAAGGTGAGGGAAAATCCTCCCAAGAATTCTGTATGGAGACAGATCTGGGACCCATCAGTGGTATGGGGACCTCGGTACATTCCGGTTAACAAGGGGATAACTCGGAATAGGTAAAATGGTGGTCACTGCAGATAAGTAGGATTGTCCCCGAGCCGGTGGGTTGCGGTTGGTGATAAGTAGTATTGTCCCTGAGCCGATGGGTTGCGGCTGAGTTGTTCTCTGTGACAAGTCTTCATTGCTGTCTATGTCTCCACTGGGAAAATTCACCCCTACATTTGCCCCTGGTGGCCACGGCCATTGAAACAGATAGCGAGTAGAAAAAATTAAATTTCTGAGTTGTCACCAGAGCAAAAGGTGAGGGAAAATCCCCCCAAGAATTCTGCATGGAGACAGATTCGGGACCCATCAGTGGTATGGGGACCTCGGTACATTCTTGGAATAGGTAAAATGGTGGTCACTGCTGATAAGTAGGGTGATAACCCAACTCCAGGGTCCCCCTTGCATTGCAACTGATTTAAGAAAGGACTGCTGGAGGTGGTCTGAGGAGGAAGCCAGAGACAGTTTTGGAGTGGGAAGAAGGTAAGAGGAACCTGGACTAACAGGTTGACGAGTTATATCGTTTTTTATCATTTTTTTCTCACAATAGAGCTTTATTTTGGTGGTATTTAATCGCTGCTGGGCACTTTGCTTTTTGTGCTATAAGCAAAAAAAGTGCAAAAAAATTTGAAAAAAAAAAAGTTTCTTTGTTTCTATTATAAAACTTTTTCAAACAGGTAATTTTTCTCCTTCACTGATGTGCGTTGATGAGGCAGCACTGATGGGCACTGATAGGCGGCATGGATGGGCACTGATAGGCGGCACTGATGAGGTGGCATTGATAGGCGATACTGATAATGGGTAGAGATGAGCGAATTATTCAAAAATTCGATTCGGCTGATTCGCCGAATTTGCGGGAGAAATTCGATTCGATGCGAATTTATTCGCCGCGAATTTAACTTATTTAAAGGGTTTCTAGGCTTCAGAGAGCCTTTATATTAGTGCAGAACACTGTACCTTTAATTTAAATGCCCTTGGAGTCTGCTGGGGAAGAGAAATAATACTGTCAGTCAGTATGACATGCAGATGAGTGCCGTCGATCTTAGAATCACCGCACACTTCACTCATTTGGGCAGTCACGGGGCACGACGAAGAGAAGAAGAAGAAGAAGAATGAAAAGAAGAATGAAAAGAAGAAGAAGAAGAAGAATGAAAAGAAGAATAAGAATGAAAAGAAGAATGAAAAGAAGAAGAAGAAGAATGAAAAGAAGAATAAGAATGAAAAAAGAATGAAAAGAAAGAAGAATGAAAAGAAGAAGAAGAATGAAAAGAAGAATGAAAAGAAGAAGAAGAATGAAAAGAAGAAGAAGAAGAATGAAAAGAAGAATGAAAAGAAGAAGAAGATGAAAGAAGAAGAAGAAGAATGAAAAGAAGAAGAAGAAGAATGAAGAAGAAGAAGAATGAAGAAGAAGAATGAAAAGAAGAATGAAAAGAAGAAGAGAAGAATGAAAAGAAGAATGAAAAGAAGAAGAATGAAAAGAAGAAGAAGAAGAATGAAAAGAAGAAGAAGAATGAAAAGAAGAAGAATGAAAAGAAGAAGAATGAATGAAAAGAATGAAAAGAAGAATGAAAAGAAGAAGAAGAAGAATGAAAAGAAGAAGAAGAATGAAAAGAAGAATGAAAAGAAGAATGAAAAGAAGAATGAGAAGAATGAAAAGAAGAATGAAAAGAAGAAAGAATGAAAAGAAGAATGAGAAGAAGAATGAAAAGAAGAATGAAAGAATGAAAAGAAGAATGAAAAGAAGAAGAAGAAGAATGAAAGAATGAAAAGAAGAATGAAAAGAAAGAAGAAGAAGAATGAAAAGAAAAAAGAAGAAGAAGAAGAAGAATGAGATGAAGAAAAGAAGAATGAAAAAAAGAAGAAGAAGAATGAAAAGAAGAAGAAGAAGAATGAAAAGAAGAATGAAAAGAAGAAGAAGAAGAATGAAAAGAAGAATGAAAAGAAAGAAGAAGAAGAATGAAAAGAAGAATGAAAAGAAGAAGAAGAAGAATGAAAAGAAGAAATGAGAAGAAGAAGAATGAAAAGAAGAATGTAAGAAGAAGAATGAAAATAAGAAGAATGAAAAGAAGAAGAAGAAGAATGAAAAGAGAAGAATGAAAAGAAGAAGAGAAGAAGAATGAGAAGAATGAAAAGAAGAATGAAAAGAAGAAGAAGAAGAATGAAAAGAAGAAGAAGAAGAAGAAGAATGAAAAGAAGAAGAAAAGAAGAATGAAAAGAAGAAGAAATGAAAAGAAGAAGAAGAAGAAGAATGAAAAGAAGAAGAAGAATGAAAAGAAGAAGAATTCCAGTACAGCAAAAAGTGTATCTGCAGAGAGCTCCGCTATTTCTGACAGTTCTCTGACAGTTCCTTCAGTTTTTATCATTTACAGCGGTTGAAACATTGTATCTATTTATTTCCGAATAAAAAACATCTGTATCCTAAATGGAAACAAATAGATACAATGTTTCAACCGCTGTAAATGAAACTCTCAGAACTGTCAGAAATAGCGGAGCTCTCTGCAGTGACACTTTTTGCCGGCTGATCGGGGAAAATTCAATTTGTGCACCTGAAGTTTGCTAAAATTCGGATTCGGTGCGAATCGAATTTTTCCTAATATTCGAAACAAATTCCACTTCGCCAAGTTCGATTCGCTCATCTCTAATAATGGGTACTGATAGACAGCACTGATAGGTGGCACTGACTGACATCACTGCTGGGCACTGACTGGCACAACCGCTGGGCACTGACTGGTGGCACTGACTGGCAGCACTGGTGGGTGGGCACAGGTGGGTGGCACTTCTGGGCATAGGTGGTGACACTGCTGGGTGACACAGGTGGGTGCATTGCTGGGCACTGACTGGCACAATGGGCACTGACTGGTGGCACTGACTGGCAGGGTGGGTGGGCACAGGTGGGTGGCACTTCTGGGCATAGGTGGTGACACTGCTGGGTGACACAGGTGGGTGCATTGCTGGGCACAGGTGGGCGGAACTTGTGTGTGGCACTGCTGGGCACCGATCATCAGGGCACTGATGATCGGTGCCGATCCCCGCTCTGACAACTGCTGGTTCTCGGCAGTACTTTCCTCACGATCTGACAGTGTGAGGAAAGTGCAGCTGAGAACCGGTAATTGCATTTCTCGGTGATCAGCGTGTCATTGGACACGGCTGATCACGTGGTAAAAGGCCACTGTGATTGGCCTTTTACCATGTCACGTGATCACGGAGATCGCCAGGGGCGCGCCCCCGGGTGCGCGCAGGAGAGCGCGTTCTGGGAGGACATCATATGACGTCCACCCAGAACTGGCCGGCCGCAGTGCAGCCGTCATTCGGCTATCTGCGGTCGGCAAGTAGTTAATAGACACTTATTAGGATTTTTTTTTTTTACCAAAGACATGCAGCGGAATACATTTTGGCCTAAATTTATGAGAAAAAAATTTTTTTTTTTTTTACTGGATATATTTTATAGCAAAAAAATCAAAAATATTTGGGTTTTTTTAATCAAAATAATTTTCATTGGTTATGTTTTACAACAGAAAGTAGAAAATATTGTTTTTTTCCCACTAAATTGTCACTATTTTATCGTGTATATAATAAAAAAAATAAAAAAAAAGCCAGCCAAAAGAAAGCTCTGGTTGTTTGAAAAAAAATGCTAAAAATGTCCTTTGGATACAATGTTGCATGACCGTCCACAACCAGCGCTAACGTATGTCAGGTTTTGCCGCGCGACACTGCCCGCCATCAGCTGAGGTTGCCCAGCGAGAGACGTAGACTAGTTGCCAAGCAAATCATTTTTTTTTTTTTTTTTCCCTGAATTCAGATGTCGGGTTTTGGATGCCGGGGGTGGGGGAATGTGTACATTCACACTGACTGTTTATGAAAAATCAATCTTTTCACGTATAGCTGGAGGAGGAAATGAACCAATTACCTATTCCAAATGAGCTCATTTCCCAGAGTGCTCCACACAGCCCCTTACAGGAACATACAGGAGAGGAGGGGGTGGGGAAGAGAGGAGGGGGGGCACCATAAAACAAAATCAAAGTTTTAACAGGGCTCCTGGGTGAAACTTATCCATGCCTTCAAAGTGCTCACTGTGCAACGTGGAGAAGTGTGCAAAACGAGGACCAGGAGGTCGGAAAATACCAGTAACCCTTGAGCCCGGGTTCACATTCATGCGGTGCGGTCTATCGCCCAAGAACCGCACCGCATCCCTGTGCCAATCACATGCGATTTGTGTGCGGTGCGATCGGAGTCGTGCATTTTGTACGGCTCCAATCGCACCGCACCAAAAATGTGAAGAACTTTTTTTTTTCGATGCACACTAGAATCGTATTCGCATCCATGCGATCCGATTCTGCACATCGCACCACGTTTTGCGGCCCAATTTCAGGGGTGTTGTCAACGTATTTTACAGTTTTATCTTTTCTTATATTTTTTTTTACATACTGTCACCCTAGAAGTACAATGTCACCATGGTGACACTGTACTACATGTGGGGGGTGAAGATTTTTTTTTTTTACACTGATTGCTTTTACACCCCATAAAGGCTGTAAAAGCAATCATTTCTCCTTCTCTCTGGCTGCAAGCTTGCAGCCTTTGAGAACTACTGTGAGAGCTGTGATTGGTCACAGCTTGTCACATGGTACAAGGCTGTTGTGAATAGCCCTGTACCATGTGATCTCTCTGATCATTCACAGATTTCACACGTAGTAAGCAATGATGTCAGAAGTGACATCTTGCTTACACCTATTCATGCGATCACTGATTGCTCAATCAGTGATCACATGATCGGGACCGGACACAGTGGGCACCGGATCACGGTGCTGCTCGCTCCCAGGGAGTGCACACAATCCAAAATGGCGGGCGTCGTTAATGAAAGGCAACCCGCCCCTGGACTGCCACCGTCTGGCCGTTTATAAACAGCGGCCAGACGGAAAGTGGTTAAAGAACAGCAAAAAATGGCCGGTCATGAAGGGGGGAAAACCTTCTGGAGGTCAAGTGGTTAAATAATAAGGGTGGAAAAATAGAAATTAAAAAAAAAAAAAAAAAGAAAATAATAGTCAAAGGGGGAAGGTGAAGAAGGAGCTAATAGGACTGTTTAGGGTAAACAAAGGATTTATAGGAGGTTATTACTTATTTATTTATTATGTTAATTTAACAAATAACCACTTGCCCTCCTGAGGATTCCCCCCCCCCCTTCCTGACCAGGCCGTTTTTTGCTATACGGCACTGCGTTACTTTAGCTGACAATTGCGCAGTCATGCAACGCTGCAACCAAATTAAATTTATGTCCTTTTTTCAACACAAATAGAGCTTTCGTTCGGTGGTATTTGATTGCCTGTGCGTTTTTTTAAAAACATTTTACGCTATAAACTAAAACACGACTGACCATTTTGAAAAAAAAATAAAACAAAAAAAAACACAAAAAAATAAATAATAATATATATTTATATATATATATATATATATATATATATATATATATATATATATATATAAACTTTTTGCTATAAAATATATCCCGTAAAAAAAATTTAAAAAATCTAATTTCATCATAAATTTAGGCCAAAATGTATTCTGCTCCATGCCTTTGCTAAAAAAAAAATCCCAATACGTGTAAATTAATTGGTTTACATGAAAGTTATAGCGTTTACAAATGGCCGCACCTATACTGGAATTTTTTTTATACTAGTAATGGCAGCGATCAACGACTTATAGCGGGACTGCGGCGGGCATTCTGACACTGGGGGGGGGGGGGGGGGGCTGACTAACTGCCACTGACATCCCCAGTGACACCAATACAGTGATCATTGCTAATAAAAAGCACTGACACTGTACTAATGGCACTGGGCAGGAAGGGGTTAACATGAGGGGCGATCAAAGGGTTAGCTGTGTGCTGGGAGTGTTTTACTAGAGAGACATGTTGTGCAGAGAAATACAAAGCAGCATGTCCTTGCTGGCAGGAGAGAGACCTGTGCTGTTTACACACAGGTCTGTACCCTGTCGGCTTTCCCCGACGATCACCAGGTGCCGACAGGAAATCTCTGGCCGGTACCCGGTGATTGACATCCCTAGCCGCCAAAGAGCTGCTTACCCAGAAATGCGAAATCACGTACATATACGTGATTTTGCGCAGCCCTGCTACCCTGTAGCAGTACTTCTGCTACCAGGTGGTGGGGAAATGGATAAATGAATACATACTGTAAATAAAGATTGAAACTCATCCCTTTAAATTGCAGATGAATGAAACAGAGTGAATACAAAAGCAACAATGTTATTTTGTATCCTTCTAACTCCTGTCTGAATGATGTGTATAAACAATGTCACTTTGTATCTCTCTATCTCCCGTCTGATCAATGTTTATAAACAATGTTACTTTGTATCCCTCTATCTCCCGTCTGATCAATGTTTATAAACAATGTTACTTTGTATCCCTCTATCTCCTGTCTGATCAATGTTTATAAAAATGTTACTTTGTATCTCTCTATCTTCTGTCTGATCAATGTTTATAAACAATGTTACTTTGTATCTATCTCCCGTCTGATCAATGTTTATAAACAATGTTACTTTGTATCTCTCTATCTCCTGACTGATCAATGTTTGTCCCTTTGTATCCCTCTATCTCCTGTCTGATCAATGTTTATAAACAATGTTACTTTGTATCTCTATCTCCCGTCTGATCAATGTTTATAGACAATGTTACTTTGTATCTATCTGCCGTCTGATCAATGTTTATAAACAATGTCACTTTGTATCTCTCTATCTCCTGTCTGATCGATGTTTATAAACAATGTCACTTTGTATCTATCTCCGGTCTGAACAATGTTTATAAACAATGATACATTGTATCTCTTTCCTCTTGAGGAGCACTGTGATCTCTGTGATAAATACCTTGAAGCGTTACACTGACACATTACAGACAATCTGGCTGATGCTCGCTCCACTTTATATCATGCAGTCCAATCGTTTATTTCCAGGATGACAGTGGAAATTTCAAGTCCTATTAGAGATTTCTAAATATTTATAATAAAATGTTAATATTGACATTCTAATAACATCCTAATCACAATCCCGGGAAGGTTGGGTGCAATCATGGAGCTCGGATAGAGCTGTGACCCTCGGCCTGATTAAAATCAACAATACTGTATATACATCCCTGAGATGAGACGGACCGGACTCCGCGAAGAATGCACGCTGCGACTCTGCAAATAATTATTCCATTAATCGCTCGCGGCCTCCACCTGACATGTGATTGGTAGATTGTATACCAGGGCTGTTCAATGACCCCCCAGTGATTTCAATCTTAGAGCGAGTTGATGGACTGCTTGACATTCAGCAATCACCAGGGATTGGCATTATTAGAAGAAAAAAAAAGTAAATTTTTTTTGCCATTAGGCGCTTATGATCCGATCAGAGTAAATTATAACGTGGCGGTGCTGTCAGTGTACGGTCCGGTACAAAGGAGAGGGGGAGAGAGGGGGAGTGAAAGGAAGAGAGAGGGGGAGAGAAGAGAGAGTGAGTGAGTGAGAGAGAGGAGGAGAGAGGAGGGGGGAGAGAGAGGAGGAGAGAGAAGAGGAGAGAGAGGGGGAGGAGGGAGAAAAAGAGAGGGAGAGAGGAGGAGAGAAAAGGGGAGGAGGGGGAAAAAAAGTGGGGGAGAGAGAGGAGGAGGGAGAAGGAGAGGGGGGGGAAAAGAGAGGGAGAGATGAGGAGAAAAGAGAGGAGGAGAGGGGGGGAAGGGGAAAAAGTGGGGGAGAGAGGGAGGAGGGAGAGGGGGTGAGAAAAAGGGAGAAGAGAGAGGGAGAGAGGAGGAGAGAGGAAGAAAGAGAGAGGAGGTGAAAGAGGAAGAGAAGAGAAGGGGAGAGAGGGGGGAGAGAGGAGGAGAGTGGGGGGAGAGAGGGAGAGGGAGCAAAGGTGGGGTATGGGGGGAGGTGGGGAGAGGGAGGAGGAGGAAAAAAGAGAGCAGAAGAGAGAGGGGGAGAGGGAAGGAAAGAAAGGAGGGAAGAAAGAGGGAAAAAGAGAGAGGAGAGAGAGAGATAGTATAGGGGAGGGAGGAAAGGAGGGGGAGAGAGAGGGAGATAGGGAGAGAAAAAGGAGAGATAAGAAAATGAGGAGAAGAGACATGGTGGGTAGAGCTGGA